CTCGGGAACACCGCCAACAGCAGTGCTCACCACAAGAAGCCTGCCAGTGGGACAAGGGTTGGCAGGGGAAAAAGATGCGGAAATGCGGTTACCCCCAAGTGCCAGAAGTCATTTTTATGCCCAACTTGACGGTACATGAAAGGCCTGAACCGTCGCCTACAGAGTTGCACTTTCGCTTTGAGGAATCACAGCCTGTACACTAACCTTATCGACTGAAAATAGAACTGCCCGGAAATTAGTGCAACAGCAGTCTCTAAGTGAGTAAACCGCTCTGTATTATTTGGCATCTTTATTGACTGCATGTAATTGATACGATTGTGAACATGTCTGGTCCAGCCGGCCTCAATGCTGTCATGGACGGTACCTCGCCACGCGTGAATATTAGCGGCAGTGGATCGTTAACCCGTTTGCTGTTACATGGAAGTGAGTAAGAATGAGAGCACAAACAAGAACAAGGTTTTGGCACTAAAGGAATCATTCAAGACAGCATCGAGAACGCGCGTAAACTGTAATTTGGAGGACGGTTAAAAGAGGCGGAAGTCCTAGCAGTCTTTTAGACGAAAAAATACTTCAATTGATCCAATTGTGAAAAACCGGCGGCCTGGGTGGAAGTCGTACCCACAGAGCAGGGAAGGCTTTTGCACAGCTAACGCTCAACCGCTGAGCTATGAGGCTCACCGTAGGCCGTTAATTTTATCACACTTGGGTCGATTTACCCGCCCAACCTACCACTCGTATGGAGTCCACCATTACGGATACAGTAAGCTGACTGCCAAGGCAGGATTCGCTAAGCAATCATCTAGGATACATCAGAATGACTACTAGGTTCGATTAATCATAAGAAGGGTTTGACAGATTTGAATAATTACATTATTGATCTGCTCTTGCCTTTTGTGACCTAATAGAAATACTAAAAGATGATTCGTTGCAAATATACAGGAGCTACAGCAGGTAATACAAAGTGCAGCAAGAAATTAAAAAAAATAGAAACAATTTAAGCTTACGGACCCGCAACTGGCAGCTTCAACTATGGCAATGCAGAAGGACTCCGTTAGAGAGGTGTTGAGAAAGATATCTCCCTTTACAATTATCTGAAGAAAAAACGAAAAAAATTGGATGAAAACAAAACGGCACAAAACATAAAACTCTGATGTGGCATTGCTATTCGAGGATAGTTAATTTTACTAACGCGCTTTCGAGGTGTGCTTATACGCACATCCATCGCACCTCAGTGACTACGCCAGGTTAACTTAGCATGTTCTTTAAACCTGAGGTTCAGCGAGATGTAAACAACGATAAAAAGACCATTTATTCGATTACTGATTCCCTCATGTATTACGCTAGTTCACCAGGTTGTGGTTCCGGCAAAACAGATTAGATGGATGACCATGGCAGTACAGAGGCAGACGGTGAAGAGCGCAGTTGCCTCTGACATCTCTTTTTTCATTAAACGGATAGCCTTGTAGCTTGGTAGACAATCGTTTAGACCAAAGGACCAAGCTTGCCGGCAGTGAACTGAACCCGAAGCCTAAAAACCTCTGCATCAAGAAGGTGCCTGCAGCTGTTTAACGCACCACAAAGCCAGTCAGCGGGGAGCAGAGGTGACGATCCGTCGCCTCCTCGTATAACTCAAAACGCCGATCCTAGCCGGATAACATTTCAGTGGTCCTCTGCCGTATAACTTGTCCATATTTGTTTTTGCATTAATGAGAATACTGATTCAGGAAAATGGTGAGTGAAGGAGCAGA